CCCGCAGGCAGCGCGCCGCGCGGGTAGCGCGCCCCGCAGGCAGCACACCCTGCAGGCAGCGAGCCCCGCAGCGCTTTAGCGCCAGAAAATAAACAAATTTATTAAACCCTAAAAAAAGGGGGGGGGGGAGGGGGGGTTCAGGGTGTTGGGCTGCAACTGTCGCCCACGTTCCCGCTTGCCGGACGGCCTACACAATTCCCTACACACCGAAGCCATCAGTACTGCAGCCCCTACTGTCGCACGTATTCTCCACAGCCAGTGGCTCTACTAGCGGCAGCCGAGCCGCACTTACAGTCTCTAGCTCTAGCCGTTCTAGCTCCAGCCACTCCTAGCTCCAGCTGTGTCTACTATAGCTCCAGCCGTTCTCACTCGAGCCATTCTAGCTCTAGCCGTTTCAGCTCCAGCCGTTCTAGCTCCAGTCCTTTTCGCTCCTCGCTCCTAGCTCAGATTGCTCCGTGCTCCAGCAGTTCCTCGCCTAGTTTCACCAGGTGCTCCTAGTTGTTCTCGTTGTTTCACTGGAGCCGTCCCTAGCTCCTGACACTCATAGCCTATATTATGGCGTCCACTAGGGTTCTCCAGCAGCAGGGACAGCAGCAACGGCAGTTTCAGCAGTGGCACCCACAGTAGCAGTGGCGCCCTCAGCAGCAGCTCTGCCCTCAGCAGCTGTGGCGCCCTCAGCAGCCGTGGGGGCCTAGTGGTTCGGGTAGTGTTGGCTGCAGCAGCGGCCCAGCCAGCTTGGGGGCTCGTCGCGGTGGCCGCGACGTCGGCCCCTGCCAGTACCGAATTCTGATTGGCCCTGGTGCTGGCACTACCTGCTGGCGTCTTGACCACTCTGCACAGCGCTACTACAGTCGCCTCGACGACCTCTACCGTGAGTGTTTTGGGCCTGGGTCGGCTCCCCCGATCTGGCCCGGTCTGTTTCGTAGTGGTTATCCTTTGTTTGATATGTCTATGGATGCTGTTTATTTTGTCACGTTTGAATCCCTTGGCTCACGCGTACCTAGCTTTGGACCTTCGCCTGTTGCTAGTGTTGGTACTTGTGCTTTTAGTGTAGGTGCTTGTGTAGTCACTAGCCCAGCTGTGACGACTGCTGTTGCGTCGCTCTCGTTCCCGCTGGACTCCGGCGCGTCACAGTGCTTCTTCCGCGACCACACCACTGTCACACCTCTTTCGGCTCCAGTCCCAGTTGCCCTGGCTGATCCTACTTCAGGACCAGCAACTGCTCGTAGCTCGACCACTCTCCTGTGCCCAGCTGTCCCCTCTGATTTCCTTACTGGTCTCTACATCCCCTCGTTCTCTCGGAACTTGGTGGGTGTTGGATACTTTCAGGACCGGGGGATCAGAGTCACTTTTTCCCGCGCACGGGAGGGCTGCGATCTGTACGGACTCTTCCACAAGGCAGTTCTTGCCACGTTCACCAGAGAGCCCCACTCAGATCTCTTCGTCCTGCACAGTCCGCCCCCGCAGGTTGCTGCGTCTGGTCAGGTTGCTTCGTCCCACTCAGTAGCAGAGTCCAGTCCGGTTACCGCGTCCCCACCGGTTGCGGTGTCCAGTTAGGTTTCTGTATCCGGTCAGGTTGCTTTTTCTGGTCTAGTTGCTGCGTCTTGCTCGTGTTGGTCTTTCACCCACCGGACCGTCTTGTGGCACCACCGTCTTGGCCACCCGCCGATCCCCCGCCTCCGCACTATGGCTAGTCACCATCTTGTTTCAGGTCTCCCTAGCGTCTTCCCGTCGCTCCCTCCCTCGCCTGCGCCGCCGACCGTCTTCGTGCCACTCTGCTCTCCTCCTCCCTTTTTCCGGCCACTGCTCCCTTCCAGACACTGCACTTGGATGTCTGGGGCCCTGCACCTACGTAGGGACCTGAGAGGGAGCGCTAATTTCTGGTGGTCGTCGACAACTTCTCTAGGTACACCACGGTGTTTCCTCTCGCGAAGAAGTCTGAGGTGACTTCTACGCTGACCCGGTGGCTTCTAGCCACTGAGGGCACTCGTGGCCGTCGTGTCTACTGTCTCCACTCTGACCGTGGGGGTGAGTTTCGCTCAAGCATTCTTACCGGATTCTGCGGCGAGCAGGGCATCGTATAGTCCTAGACGCTGCCGGAGTCCCCACAGCAAAATGGGGTTGCTGAGCGCCGCATTGGCTTGGTCATGGACATCGCCCGCACGTCCATGATTCATGCGCGTGCGCCCCATTTTCTGTGGCCCTACGCGGTTCGCTACACCGCTCACAGCTGAACATCCAGCAGCGCGTCTCGCAGATGGCTTCAGCGACCAATCTTTGGATCAGGTCCCCTAGTGTTGGGTCAGCTTTTCGTGTCTGGGGCTGCCTTGCGCTTGTCCGCGACACCTCTGCGTGTCTCAATGTAAAATTGACTAAAACAGAAAGTACAAACAAGATATATGCAAAACCTAACCCTAGTGCAAGTACAAAATAACACAAGGGAGAACACCTAGACTAGAAATACACAAACTATATAATTATTGTTTGACACACCCCCATAGTCTAGGTGACGGTAGTCCTTTAGAAACAAGAGCAAGCAACGGTCACGAGACCAGTCCACAAGAACAAGACAAATCTTCGGGTGGAGCTCAAAGTCACCACACAATCCGAGAGCAAGCAAGGGGCCACAAGGCCAGTCCACATGCAGGTATATAGCAAATATAAAGAGATGCAAGAGTACAAGACATGCAGGACGGGCAGGCACAAGGCCAAGTTGGGTGCAGAAACGCTGATGGTCACAAGGCGGCAACGCCTTGGTGAAGATATCTGCCGTGTTGGCCTCAGAGACAACACATCGAACGAGTGCCTGGCCACGCTGCTGCAACGCAGGGAGAAGGAAGTAACAAAGCTGGATGTGCTTCACCTTCCCAACTAGTCGGGGCTCATCACACAACAGGACAGCAGACCTGTTGTCGGAGAACAAGACCGGGGGAGAGCGAGGCCGCTCACCAAGGTCGGTGAGAAGGAAAGACAGCAAGCGAACCTCCTAAGCGACCATGGCTGCAGCGTACACCTCTGCCTCACAGCTGGAACCGACGACGGACGACGCACGAGTCGACCGCCACGAAACAACACCTGTCCCGAGGATAAAGGAGTACCCCTGTGTAGACCGACGCATCTCCGCGTCGTCAACCCACGACGAGTCTGAGTAACCTGTGAGTGTAACTGGCTGCTTCCCTCCAAGAACAAGTCCCATGCCTAATGTACTCGCCACATACTTTGCCACCCTCTTAGCAGTGTACCAGTGGGACGGTCGGTGTCTCCCAGGCGCAACAAAGCGCGCAAGGACGCTAAGAGGGTAAGCTAGGTCTGGGTGAGTACAGGTCATCAGGTACATGAGACAACCCACCAGCCCAGGATATGGACCACTAGACTCAAATGACTCGTCCGAAGGTGGAGCCTTGAGCCCATGATGCACAGCAAGAGGGGTGAGCTGTACGTTGGAGAACGGGAAGCGAAACCGCGTGAGGATCTGCTCGACCATATGCGACTGAGTCAGCGTAATGGTGCGAGCTGCCCTGTCCCTGGTGATCTGCAGGCCAAGGTAGTGCTGCAGCTCACCAAGGTCAGTGCAAGTGTGTCTCCTCTGAAGTTCCTCCTTCACGGAGGCCAGCGCGTGTCGTTCGGGAGTGGCTAACACCAGGTCATCGACGTAGACCAGGACAAAGAACGGGGTCGAGCCACGGCGGACGAACAGTGACGGGTCAGCAGACGACGGAAAGAAGTCAAGCACTGCAAGGGTTGAGCGAAGTGTGTCATGCCACTCACGTGGAGCCTGGCGCAGGCCGTAGACTAGTCGATGCAGCTGCCACTGGGTCCCAGGTGGGAAAGAGCCAGTGAAGCCAGACGGGCGACGCAGCCAGATCTGCTCGTGCAGGCTCCCCTGAAGGAACGTGGTGGAAAAGTCCAAGGAGTGCAACTTGTAGTCGCGCAGGGCTGCAATATGCAGCAACACCCAAAGAGTACTCATCTTCGGGGTGTGAGTAAAGGTCTGGAAGAAGTCCGCCCCCAATTGGTGACTGAAGCCTCTCGCCACGTAGCGCACCTTGAACACTGGTGGTGATCCAGGCGGCCGCTTCACCTTGTAGAGCCATCGACCACTGACGACGTTCGTCCCAGGTGGTGGGACTGCGTCGACGTAAGTGCCTGTGGACCTATAAGATGCCATCTCTGCCTCCTCAGCTGCTATCCAATACGAGGCCCAAGGTCCCGAGACCGCCTCAGCATGATTGCGAGGGATCGGGATGTCAAGAGCGTCTGGATCCCCCTCAAGGGTAAGCAGAGGTGAGGAACATGGGTCTGGGTTAGCAGCATGGCGCAGAGATGAGGAATAGCGGCCGCAAGGAAACCAAGCTCAAACTGCCTGTCCTCTAGGACCTCCAGGGGAAAGACAGGAGCACCCCCAGAGGACGGAGAACGAGCAACGCCACTCACCAAGTGAACGGCGTAGTCAAGGCGGTGGGAAGAGGCGAAGCCAGCGACAGTGGTAACAATTGCTGAGACAGACGACAGGGGTGCAGTCGGCTGAGTGACCAATGCGGACAAAACACGGAAGACCACAGGACGGGAGGCACGGATGTAGTCGGACAACGGGTCGTGAAGCACATTCTTCAATTCTCCTTGGTGACAACCACCTCGACACCCGCTTGGCCTAGGCTACTAAGCCTAGGCCCTAAACCCGGTTCCTAGTTAACTTAGTAATGTAACATGGTATAGAGCGATTAAGTTCCTGACCTAAGTTAATGGGCCCACCTATTCATGGCACGGCGCTCGCTGCGACGGGCGCGGCGGCGAGCCGGCCGCGTTTCCCTCGTCGCCAGCCCGTCGTTTTTTTTCCCTCGTCGCCTGCCCGTCGCCAGCCCGTCGCGTTTTCACCCCATCGCCAGCCCATCGCGTTTCCCCCGTCGCCAGCCCATCGCATTGCCCCCGTCGCCAGCGCGTCTCGTTTCCCCCGTCGTCAGCCCGTCGCATTTCCCCACCCTCACCACCTCTGCCCGCGCCTACGCCTGCTGTCGAGTTTGCGCGAGAGTGGGGAAGGGGGGGGGACAGCATCGGGAATGAAGGGGACGGTGACGGTGGCGGTCGTCGCGGCCCTTTCCCCCCCGTCCCGTTTTCTTCCTTCCCTTCGCCTCGCTCCGCCCGTCGCATTCTCCCGGCCCCCTGCTCGTCACCCCCACCCCCCCGTCGCGTCTGTTCACGTGTGCAGCAGTGGTCGCTGTGGGTGGGAGAGGGAGGAGGGGAAGGGATTGGCGGCGGAACGCTGCGGGTGGGAGAGGGAAAGGGGAAGGGAGTGGCGGCGGAATGCTGTGGGGGAGAGAGGAAAAGGGGGAAGGGAGTGGCGGCGGAACAGCACCAGGCACCAGCACCAGCGCCAGCCACCAGCACCAAGAACCAGCACCAGGCACCAGCACCAGCGCCAGCCGCCAGTACCAGGCACCAGCACCAGCGCCAGCCGCCAGCACCAGGCACCAGCACCAGCGCCAGCCGCCAGCACCAGGCACCAGCACCAGCGCCAGCCGCCAGTACCAGGCACCAGCACCAGCGCCAGCCGCCAGCACCAGGCACCAGCACCAGCGCCAGCCGCCAGCACCAGGCACCAGCACAAGCGCCATCCGCCAGCACCAGGCACCAGCACCAGCGCCAGCCGCCAGCACCAGGTACCAGCGCCAGCGCCAGCCGCCAGCACTAGGCACCAGCACAAGCGCCAGCCGCCAGCACCAGGCACCAGCACCAGCGCCAGACGCCAACACCAGGCACCAGCACCAGCGCCAGCCGCCAGCACCAGCACCAGCTCCAGCGCCAGCCGCCAGCACCAGCACCAGCTCCAGCGCCAGCCGCCAGCACCAGGCACCAGCACCAGCGCCAGCCGCCAGCACCAGGCACCAGCACCAGCGCCAGCCGCCAGCACCAGGAACCAGCACCAGCGCCAGCCGCCAGCACCAGGCACCAGCACCAGCGCCAGCCGCCAGCACCAGGCACCAGCACCAGCGCCAGCCGCCAGCACCAGGCACCAGCACCAGCGCCAGCCGCCAGCATCAGGCACCAGCACCAGCGCCAGCCGCCAGCACCAGGCACCAGCACCAGCGCCAGCCGCCAGCACCAGGAACCAGCACCAGCGCCAGCCGCCAGCACCAGGAACCAGCACCAGCGCCAGCCGCTAGCACCAGGAACCAGCACCAGCGCCAGCCGCCAGCACCAGGCACCAGCACCAGCGCCAGCCGCCAGCACCAGGCACCAGCACTTGCGCCAGCCGCCAGCACCAGGCACCAGCACCAGCGCCAGCAGCCAGCACCAGGCACCAGCACCAGCGCCAGCCGCCAGCACCAGGCACCAGCACCAGCGCCAGCCGCCAGCACCAGGCACCAGCACCAGCGCCAGCCGCCAGCACCAGGCACCAGCACCAGCGCCAGCCACCAGGCACCAGGCACCTGTGACCAGCAGCCCCACCTGTGACCAGCAGCCCCACCTGTGACCAGCAGCCCCACCTGTGACCAGGAGCCCCACCTGTGACCAGCAGCCCCACCTGTGACCAGCAGCCCCTCCTGTGACCAGCAGCCCCACCTGTGACCAGCAGCCCCACCTGTGACCAGCAGCCCAACCCGTGACCAGCAGCCCCACCCGTGATCAGCAGCCCCACCTGTGACCAGCAGCCCCACCTGTGACCAGCAGCCCCACCTGTGACCAGCAGCCCCACCTGTGAAGAACTGGACAGGGACCGTCGTGGGTGGGGAGGGGTCTGGAGGAAGAAAAGGGGGGGAGGGAGTGCGGTTCCGGGGGGGCGGGGATGAGGTTACAGGGGGTTGGTTGATTGGGGGTGGAGATGTGGGGGTTAGTAAGAGGGGACGCTGCGGCCACCCCCCCACCTCCTCTCCTCATCCCCCACTCAACCCCCCCTATGTAAAAGGGGGTTAGTAAGAGGGGACGCCGCGGCCACCCCCCCACCTCCTCTCCTCATCCCTCACTCACCTCCTCCTTTGTTCTTATCTCCTCTCCTCTCCTCTCTCTCTCTCTCGCCTCCTCCTCCTCACTTACCTCTACAGTCTTTCACAATGCCTGCAATACCCCTTCAGGGGGTGTGACTTACTCTAGCTATGTGCTGCAGGCAGTTAAGGGGGTGTGTCGCGATATATATTTATATATGTTTATAACTGCCTGTAGCTTTAGCTCTAGTGTAGTTATGTTTCCTTGTTGTTGGTGGTGCACCTTTGCTAGTTTGCTATATGTACCTTGTGTGCTATAGTGAACAACACACATTCTTCAATTCTCCTTGGTGACAACCACCTCGACACCCGCTTGGCCTAGGCTACTAAGCCTAGGCCCTAAACCCGGTTCCTAGTTAACTTAGTAATGTAACAGCACCCCCAGAGCCGACACCACCAGCTCCTGCAGCCCCAGTACCCTCACCCTCCGCAACTGCACCTCCCGCACCCCCAGATACGACAGAGATTGGACTCTGCAGGGGGGACGACTGCGGAGTGACGTGCGACCCACCTAACGGGGCAGGACGCGAAGGGGGGGGGGCTACTGGGGCGACTGGGGGGGGGCTCAAGGGTGAGGAAAAGCGGGGGAGAAAAGGCCTCCGTACCACGGTAGGGGCGACTCCTGTAGTAACAGACAGACTCGTCGAACGTGACGTCATGAGAAGCGAAGAACTGGTAGGTGACCAAGTCATAGAACACCCAGCCGGAGGCGTCTAAAGGGAAGCCAAGAAAGACGCAGGCACGAGTGAGCGGAGACAACTTGTTCGCGCCAGGGGTGCGAACGCGAGCCAGAGAACCCCAGACACGGAAGTCAGCTGCTACACCCGGAGAACCTGTCCAAAGGGAGACCAGCGTCACCCGTGGCCGTGCGTCAATGGGCCACAAGTTCAGCTGGTGCGCGGCGTAGCGGACTGCCTGAGGCCACAAGAACTGAGGGGCACCAGCATGGCACATGGAGGTTCGGGCAACTTCCATGACCAAGCCGATGTGTGTCGCTCGGCTACCCCGTTCTGCTGCAGCGAGGCTGGTAGCGTGTAAGACTGGATGATCCCCCGACCCTAACAGAACGTCTCCAGGCGAGTGGAAGAAAACTCACCACCACGGTCCGAGTGTAGGTGAAGCCCACATAGGCCCTGGGCGCCACCCCACGCTAGTAGCCACGGCTCGAGGACGGTAGGCACGTCGGCCTTCCGTCACAAGGGGAAAACCGTGGTGTAGCGGGAGTAGTCATCCACCACAATCAGGAAGTAGCGCTCCTGACGTGGGCCAAGGACCAGGGAGGGGCCCCAGACGTCCAAGTGCAGGGTCTGGGAGGGAGCCCATGTTGAATGAGTGGAGGTACTGGAGACCTGCGCCTACTCCTAGTCGGATGTTCATGCGCTCCCGCATGCTCAGTGGACACGGGGCGGCTGGAGGGAGGAGAAGAGCGTGAGGGAGAGAAATAATAAGTTTTAGTGAAAAAACGAGGGGAGAGTTTTCAATGGGTGAATGTGAATATTGAGATGGTTATCTGTCAAATAGCTCATGCCCCGCGCCACACGCCATATGCCCCATGCCCCAAGCCACAACCACACGCACCTTTGTCGATCCAGCAATCAAGGTCCTTCCCAGCCATGAACTCATACACGAGGATCTGCTCTGCTCCATGCGCCGCGTGGCCGAGCCGTCTTTTGAGGCGCCTCAACCTCCATATGCCCCATGCCCCACACCACAGCCACGACACAAGCCACACACCCCAAGTGCACGCACGCACCTTTCCCGATCCAGTGGTCAAGGTCGTTTCCAGCCACGAACTCGTACACGAGAATCTGCTCCATGCACTGCCTGGCTGACCTATCCCTTTGAGGCGCATCAACACCCACAAGCCCCACGCCACAACAAGCCCAAACCACACGCACCTTTGCCGATCCAGTAATCAAGGTCCTTGCCAGCCATGACCTCATACACGTGGATCTGCTCCATGCGCTGCCTGGCCGAGCCATAGCACACGCCGTACCCCAGCAGGCGCACCAGGTGCTCGTGGTGCTTGGATGCCATCGCCTCGCCTCCACCTCCGTCTAAAAGTTATTCGACAGAAACTTGGCGCGCTTCACCGCCCACACCTCCCCGGTTTGAGGATCCACTCCCCTGTACACATCGCCAAACGCCCCGCTGCCCACCAGGTTTGATTCTACCCAGCCGGCCGTTGCTCGCTCCAGCTGCTTCAAAGAAAACTCCTGGCACACGCCGGTCCCCTTGCTTCCCTTGCTCGTTCTCAGGCTCAAGCTCAGGCGCCCTCCTCCTCCTCCTCCTCCTCCTCCTCCTCCTCCTCCACCTCCTCCTCCTCCTCCTCCTCCTCCTCCTCCTCCTCCTCCTCCTCCTCCTCCTCCTCCTCCTCCTCCTCCTCCTCCTCCTCCTCCTCCTCCTTCTTCTTCTTCTTCTACTTCTGCCGGCGCCACCACCGGCAGAACCAAAAGGAGGAGAAGAAGAAGAAGAAGAAGAAGAAGGAGGAGGAGGAGGAGGAGGAGGAGGAGGAGGAGGAGGAGGAGGAGGAGGAGGAGGAGGAGGAGGAGGAGGAGGAGGAGGAGGAGGAGGAGGAGGAGGAGGAGGAGGAGGAGGAGGAGGAGGAGGAGGAGGAGGAGGAGGAGGAGGAGGAGGAGGAGGAGGAGGAGGAGGAGGAGGAGGAGGAGGAGGAGGAGGAGGAGGAGGAGGAGGGAGGAGGAGGAGGAGGAGGAGGAGGAGGAGGAGGAGGAGGAGGAGGAGGAGGAGGAGGAGGAGGAGGAGGAGGAGGAGGAGGAGGAGGAGGAGGAGGAGGAGGAGGAGGAGGAGGAGGAAGAAGAAGAAGAAGAAGAAGAAGAAGAAGAAGAAGAAGAAGAAGAAGAAGAAGAAGAAGAGAAGAGCCAGCAGAAGCAGCGATGCGATGACTCCTACTGTGGCCCCTACTATCACTGCTGGACTGGTGCCAGTGGCGGGTGGAGCAGGCGGCGCTGGTGCTGGTGATGATGATGATGGAGGTGATGGTGGTGATGGTGGTGGTGGTGGTGGTGGTGGTGGTGCTGTAACATCCGATGGTGGTGGTGGTGGTGGTGCATATGAGTATGGTGGTGGTGGTGATGGTGGTGGTGGTGGTTCTAAGGGATAGTATGAGTATGATAATGGTAGTATTGGTGGAGCTGTTGACGATGCATTACCAGGTGGTACAGGGTAAACAGGGGGCGTCACAAGAAAGGGGGTTGGGGGGAGAGGGGAGTGGAATGGACAGAGGCAAGGTGTCGGAATCTCTCTCTGTCTTGCTTCAGGTTGCCCGGCCTTGCCTCCTGTTGGCCCTGCCTCCTGTGCTCCTGATGCTGGGGTGTTGTCTCTCTTCTGCAACCTTCCTCGTCACTGCATTAGTGCCCTCAGCTCTCTGGGTACCTGCCTTGCCTTGCCACCTGCATCCTGCACTTAAAAGCTCCTCTACTCTCTGAGAGGAGATTGCTTCCACTGGGGGCTGAGCTCGGCAGACTCACTGCTCTTCCTTGGCTCAGATCGTGCTTGCTAGGATTGGCTCCACTCGTGCTAGGTGCTAGGGGTTTCGCCAGCCTGAATTGTAGCTTAGTGTGAAAACAAACTCGCAAGAAAAGATCCCCTACTTGCGCTACTGCTTAAGTAATTGTGAGCGGTGGTTACCGTTGCCGAGCAACGGTGCTTTCCCACAGCTCGCTTTGTGTTCCCGCTCGAGCATTCCCCTTTTCCCCCTTACTTCTCTACAGTCTATTACGCTCCTTCACAATGTCATGCACCTATCTTATTATATCTATACTAAGTATAAAAGCATGACAGCTGTCGGAATCTCTCTCTGTCTTGCTTCAGGTTGCCCGGCCTTGCCTCCTGTTGGCCCTGCCTCCTGTGCTCCTGATGCTGGGGTGTTGTCTCTCTTCTGCAACCTTCCTCGTCACTGCATTAGTGCCCTCAGCTCTCTGGGTACCTGCCTTGCCTTGCCACCTGCATCCTGCACTTGCCCCCTCCTCGGCTGCCTAGCTCCTGCTGCAAGCCGATGGACTCCTTCTACTCCTGGCTGCTGGATTCTTTCTTCTGCCGTTCCTGCACCGTCTTCCTTAGCTCCCCGCCTTGGTCGGGCTCGTGCCACGTTGGTCTGATGGTCTTTCTTCTCCCTGCCTCCCTCGCTCACCAGCACTACCACTCCTGACTCTTTCACTTCCTTGACCTTCCAGCGCTCGTTGCTGAGGCCTATGTCCATCATGTCGTGCCTCGCTTGCTTCAGATATACCTCCTCCCCTACTCCCAGCTGCTTTTCCTTAGCGGCTCCCTGTCCCTCCCTCCTCTTCTTGTATCGCTGCGCGTCTCTGAGCTGAGCCACGTGCAAGTTCTCTAGCGCTGCAGGTAGCAGTTCTCTTAGGTACCTGGCCCGTGCCTCTGCCAGCCCCACCCAACTCTCCGCTGATGCCACTGTCACGGTTCCTGTCAGCAGCTTCGGTGCGTCTACTGGCAGTATGGGCTCTCTCCCCAGCAGTAGGTAGTATGGGGACACGTCCTTCAGAGCTGCCTGTTTACTGAACCGGTATCCTGCCGCTACCCAGGGCAGTCGTGCATCCCAGTCTCGCTTGAATTTCTCTCCGTAGGCCCGCAGTCCCCTCTTCATAGTCCTGACAAACCTCTCTGTCAGCCCATCGCTCTGGGGGTGGTAGCGGGATGTCCTTCGGTGCGTGATTCCAGTCGCCTGTAGTAGCTTCTCGAACTCTCCTAGGAATTCGGTCCCTTGGTCGGTCAGGACTTCTCCGCATGCGCCGAATCTGGTGAGGACTTGCTCCTCAAACGCCTCTGCTATCTTCGCCGAGTTCTTACTGGGTAACGCCTTGACCTCCACCCACTTGCTCCCGTGTTCTATCATGATGAGTATGTACCGCTTCCCTCTGCGGCTTAGCGGCATCTCTCCTGCCAAATCTAGCGACCATCGAAATCCTAGTCCTCGTATGGGAAGTGACTGCAACTCCTCTCTTCCTCTCTCCAGCTCTGCCTTGTTCCTGCTACACAGCTCGCATGAATCTACCCACTCTTTTATCTCTCTCCGCATTCCCGCCCACCACCACCCGGTCTCTACCAGCTGGCTGGTCCTCAGACTTCCATAGTGCCCCAGCGTCCGATGCACCTTGGCTATTATCTGCTCTCTTTCTTCTCTCCTTGGCACCAGCTTCCACCCGTCCTTAGTGTTTTTCTGCATCTGGTCCTGGTACCATCTGTAGTGCACCCCTCTTGCCCGGGCTCGCTCGCTGGCTGGCCCGGCCTCTGTCGTTTTGCCTTGTATCCAATTCAGCACCTCTTCATCCTCCCACACATCATCGGGCCCTCGCTCCTGCTTCTTCCTGGCCCCTTCTCCGTCAATCTCTCGGGCTAGTGCGACCAGGCAGGCTGTGGGGCTGTCCGGCGGAGGGTTCCTGGAGAGGCCGTCTACATGCTGCAGCGTCTTCCCCGGTCGGTGCCGGATGGTGAACTCGTACTCTTGCAACCGCATCGCCCACCTGGCGTTCCGACCGGTGAGAGCTTGGTTGGTCATGAGCCAAGTCAAGGGTTGATGGTCTGTCACTAGGGTGAAGGGCCGGCCCTGCAGGTACACACGGAAGTGGGTGACCCCCCACACGGCTGCCAACCCTTCTCCCTCGTAGGAGCAGTAGTTGGCCTCTGCCAGGTTGCAGCTCCTGCTGGCGAAGGCCACTACCATCTCCTGCCCCTCTTTCTCCTGACACAGTATGGCTCCCATGCCTGCACTGCTCCAGTCGGTGTAGAGCACAAAGGGATCCTCCTTACTGGGCAGGGTTAGTACCGAAGCCGTCTTCACAGCGGTGAGTAGAGCCTCCAGCGCCCCTTGCTCGGCCTCTCCCCACTGCCATGCTTGCTCTTCCCGCAGTAATCGATTCAGTACTGCTGCCGTCCGGCTGAAGTTGGGCACGAACTTGCGGTAGTAGTTCAAGAAGCCCAACACCGCCATTAGTGTTGTCCGGTCCTTGGGGGCGGGTACTCGATCCAGCACCTCAACCTTGGCCTGCTGGATGTCATCTTCCCTCCCTGCACCTCAAATCCCAGGTACTTCACTGCCCTGCTGCCGAACTCACACTTCTTCGGGTGGCAGGTTAATCCAGCTCCCTGGATGGCCTCCAGGGTGGCCTGCACGTCCTTCACGTGTTGCTCGGGGCTGGGACTGAAGACGATGACATCGTCTATGTAGCAGGCAGCGGCTGGCACGTTCCTCAAGACTGCGTCCATCACTCGCTGGAACAGCGCCGAGGCATTCCTCATGCCAAACGGCATGCACCTCCACTCGTACAGTCCGTCTGGCCCATGGAATGCTGTCTTCTTTCGGTCCTCTGCTCTGATGGGTATCTGGTTGAAGCCTTGTCTGAGATCTAGCGTCGAGAACACAGCTGCCCCCTGTAGCTTGTCAAAGATTTCTTCGGCGGATTGCATGGGGTATCGGTCTGCCACGGTGACCTTGTTCAGGCCCCTGTAATCCCCGCACATTCTCCTCGCCGACACCTCCCCTATGAGGTCCTTCCTCGAGGCCACTACTGTCGCTGCTGCGTAGTCACTTTCTGAGCGCTGGATCAGCCCTGCCTCTAGCAGCTCCGCGCACTTTTCCATGCATATGTCGATGTCTCCTGGGCTCATCCGTCTCTTCCTCTGGTAGATCGGTATCTCCGTGGTGAGCTTGATTTCCATGACGTGTGACTTGCATTCTCCTAGCTCCTGCAGCGTGTAGGCGAAGCACTGTCGGTGTTGCCTTAACACCTCCTGTAGTTCCCTGGCTGCTGCTGCCCCCATTCCTGAGCCTATGGGCCATTCCTCTTCTGGTATCCTCTCCCTTTCTTTCACTGCTCCTGCCTTCGTCTCCTCCTCAGCCTCTTCCTCTCTCTTCTCTCCTCCTTCGCATTCCATGGCCATGCATGCCCAGCCTTCTCTGATTCTTTCTTCCTGCTGCTCCTCCATGGCTTGCAGCTGCCTTTTTACCCTCTCCACTTCCAAGTCCTCCTGGTATCTCACGCTTATCTCTATCTCCCTTTGAATGTCTTTCGTCTTGAGGTGCATGCGAATCGTCTCAATCAGCCAGCTCATGACGTTGAGGTCCATCGCCCTCCCTATCGCCGCTCTTCTCTGCTTCTCTGTCACTCTCGGATGTGCCGTGGCGTCCCACCTGTGCCCCATGGCTGCTTCCCTTTCCCGTGCAGTCGGCTCTTCCCATTTCCCGGCTCTGACGTCGTAGATCATTCCTGGCCCTGGGAGATCTCCCTCCATGCGGAAACCCCAGGATCCTTCGTACGCGACCAGGGTGGGCAGCGCCTGCCGTGGCTTTCCGGGCTCATTGCATTGGTACTGTGAAGGATGGTCTGGGATCTTGACGGGCGCCGGCAGTCTGTTAGGCCCCAGGATATCGCTCACCAGCCTTGGTTCCGGGCGCTGCATCTGGGCCAGGGAGTGTCTCAGGCTAGCTTCTGACACCCCGTTCTGCCAGTATCTCCTGGGCCGATGCGCCCTGGATCCTAGCTGGGCGGCGTCCACTGCCACCCCTCTTCCCACTGCCGCCTCTATCTCTGCAAAGGCTAGCTTCACGGGCTCCCTCCTGTCCTCCGCCAGGTCTACATTCTCCAGGATGTAGATTACCTCTCCTTGCTTCCTTTGTATCATCTCCAGCACCTTCTGCAGATCCCTGAAGGAAGCACCCCGTGGGTCCTCCATCCCTCTTCCTTCCCCCGCACGGGAGTACCCCTGGCACTCCCATCCGGCCACCACTAGATCCACTTGCCCCCATCTCTCCAGCTGCTCCTCGGTGATATCCCTCACGTCATCCACGGAGGCTTCATCTTCTGCGGGGATGGCTGTACTTAACATCTGCTGGGGGTAGTCTTCTAGCAGCTTCAAGGCGTGATGCCTGGCCATCCTCCGGACCACTGGGTCTTTCTCCACATGTACCCACTTCCGGACGTAGCAGCCCGCCTTCAGTGCCGCCGCCAAGCCCGTCCCGATGCCTCCATACAGCTCCAGTACACAGAGGGCACTCTCCAGTGCCCACACTCTGCTCACCCTTTCCTTCAGGGAGGGCGGATCTTCCCCTCTCGCTCTCCTTTCGGTCCTGCCCTCGTACTCCTCTGCGTACTGCTCCCAGCTCCAGTCGTCTAGCTCCTCCGACAGGTCCTTCCTCTGCGCCTGGTACGCCTCCCTCGGCTCCTGCCTTACGAATTTCACCGGTAGAGTGCCGACCGAGCTCTCTGGGTCCCAGTAATGCACTCTGTATAGAACCTTTTCCTGCCACGTGCATATGGTGGCCCCCACCCTGTAGAGGAGCTCCATGCCCACCAGTATGTCATAGTCCTCTGACTCCGAGACCCCGCAGTTGAGCCTGATGCAACACTCCTTCTCTGTCCCTGGCAGCAGTACCACCTCAATGGGCCTGCGGGTGCGTGGCATCCATTTCGGCTCCCCCCCTTCGGCGGTCATCAGAAGAATACCTCTCTCTACCAGGCGTCCTGGTAGATCCAGCTTCAGGTGCTTCGCCAGGCCCTTGCCGATCAGAACGTGGTGGGCTCCGGTATCTATGATGGCCTGCCCCACGGGCAGGCCTCCTACCGTCAGGCTGCCCTTGTCGGCTATGAGGACGGAGGCTTGGCAGACCAGCCGCTCGTTTGGGTGCCTGCGCATCCCCGTTCCGCTGCCTCCCCCCGCCCGCTCGTATCGCCGGCTTCTCTCTGCCGTCGTGCCACTCTCTTGCGTCGTTGGGTTTCGGGGCCTCAGGTCTATCTCGTCTCTTTCGCGTGGGTAAGCCATGCAGGAGTACTCCTTGATGTATTCTTCCTCTTCCTCCTCTACTCCCTCCACTTCCTCGTATGCCAGCATGGCTCTCTCCTTGTGCGTGGAGGTCCCCCTTCCTTCCAGCTTCAGCTGCAACCGCTTGATCTCTGCTTGCAGCCCTTCCCTTGTCTCCGGCCCCTCTTCTCTCTTCCTGCTGTAGCACTCCGCCCTTTTGTGCCCCCGCTTTCCGCAATTCTCGCAGGTGGGAGCTTTCGGGCAATCCCGCTTCAGGTGTCCCGCGTCTCCGCATTCGTGGCATCTCCTGCTGTCTGGGCGGCTCACCGCGGCTTGCTCTAGCTCCAGCATCGCAGCTGCCGCCCAGGTCGTTTTGGGCTTCGTCCGCGTCTCTCCGTCCTCGAGGTCAAGCAGGCGTTGCGCATGTTCTGTCCTCTTCGCCAACCCATACACCTCCTTCAGTGTAATGTCAGCTCCAATTCCGTACACGTTGTTGCGCACCACCCCCTTCAGCTCCTCGTCCAATCCGCGCACGAAATTGCGCACCAGCAGTCTCTCCTCCTTACACTCCAGGTCGTCGGCCAACTCTTTCAGAGGTTATCAATGAGCACGGACCAAGTGGACCCCATGGTGCCCACGAAGAAGGGCGCATCGGCGGAGATCAGGAGGTTCACGTAGGCGTTGTCCGTGGCGCGCTGCTCCCCCACGCGCGCGTCGTATGCGTCCATGCTCTCGCCTGCCGCCTGGCGGGGGAAGTCGGTGGCGTGGAAGCGCCAACGCGTGTAGTGCCTGGTGGCGTCCACCACCGCCTGTGTGGGGCGGAGGAGGAAGGCAGGGGGGAGGGGACGAGGAGGGGGAGATAGAGCCTGGCGGGGGAAGTCAGTGGTGTGGAAGCGCCAACGCGTGTAGTGCCTGGTGGCGTCCACCACCGCCTGTGTGGGGCGGAGGAGGAAGGCAGGGGGGAGGGGATGAGGAGGGGGAGATAGAGCCTGGCGGGGGAAGTCAGTGGTGTGGAAGCGCCAACGCGTGTAGTGCCTGGTGGCGTCCACCACCGCCTGTGTGGGGCGGAGGAGGAAGGCAGGGGGGAGGGGATGAGGAGGGGGAGATAGAGCCTGGCGGGGGAAGTCAGTGGTGTGGAAGCGCCAACGCGTGTAGTGCCTGGTGGCGTCCACCACCGCCTGTGTGGGGCGGAGGAGGAAGGCAGGGGGGAGGGGAGGAGGAGGGGGAGATAGAGCCTGGCGGGGGAAGTCAGTGGTGTGGAAGCGCCACCGCGTGTAGTGCCTGGTGGCGTCCACCACCGCCTGTGTGGGGCGGAGGAGGAGGCCGGGAAGGAGGAAGGCAGGGGGGTCATGGAGATGGAACAGGGGATGGGTTTTGGGGTCGACTTTTTGATCGGCAGTGCAGATGGGAACGAGGGAAGGGACTCTTAGAGTGGAGAGTGAGTTTGTGGGATAGAGTGCTGACTGGTAAGCCAGCAGCAGGACGAATGTATAGTGGAGTGATTGGGGGAGTGATTTGTGCGCCGGCATGAGAGCATGAAGTGCACAGGGGAGGGAGAGAGGTGCATTAGGGTGGGGTGAGGGGGGGTCGGGTTGGGGGGTGGCGATTCTTCGATTATGTGCATCACTGTGCTCACCCGTGCTCATATGCTTGCACACACACACCCACTCGCCCAATCACACACACATTCACCCACGCATCCACTCTCCCCTTGCACTCACCCACTCACAATCACCCACTCACACGTTCCTCTCCCTCTCACACACGCACCTGCATCTCAGTGCTGAGCCACACAAAGTCGGCATGGGGGAACTGGCGTCTCACGCGGCCCAGCAGCGCCAGATACACGTCCACCCCCGCCATCGCCATCTCGCCTGTCTTGTCGCCCTGCCTCACCCACTCTCACACTCAGTCACTAATTCAATCACCCACTCATTCAATCACCCACTCATTCAATCACCCACTCATTCAATCACCCACTCATTCAATCACCCACTCATTCAATCACCTGCATCTCAGTGCTGAGCCACACCGCGTCCGCGTAGGGAAACTGGCGTCTCACGCGGCCCAGCAATGCCACATACACGTCCACCCCCGCCATCGCCATTTCGCCCGCCTTGTCGCCCTGCCGCACATGCACCGCCACCAGCCCCTCTGGCACATACCCCCCCGCTCGGTACGCTCCCGTTCCTGACAGTGCCCCTGTGCCGCCTATAGCGCCGCCACTCGCTGCCTGCCATATCTCCTCGATTTTCCCCTCGCTGCCCAGGGCGTTTCGAGAGGTGAGATCGGGCAGCTGCTCGACGGTTTTCGGCCAATTGGAGGGCAGGAAGCGGGCTGCCCGGGTGGCGAGGGCAGGGCCAAAGGAGCGGTGGCGAGCGCGATTGAGGAGGCGGCAGAGACAAGGGGAGGGGTAGCGCATGAGGTAGGTGGCAGCCTGGTGGGGTGAGGAGCCCAATGGGGAGTAGAGAGGTGAGGTAGGAAAGGAGGAGAGGCGAAGAAGAGAGGAGAGAGGAGAGAAGAGGAGAGGAGGAGAGGAGGAGAGGAGGAGAGGAGGAGAGCGGGAGAAGAGAGAGGGAAAAAAGGGAAGTGGCACTTTGAGTAAGTGGAGGCCTGTGGTTATGGAGGTGGGGAAAATGTGGGCGAAAACCACAAGTCTTCAAAAAGGAAAGAAGAGCGGAAGGAAAGAGATGGCAATTACAGACAGACATCGGCACATGCAGGCACAGAAAGAGAACGCATGCATGTGCTGTGAACACTTGGACAGCTTCACGACATGCGAAAAAATGTGGATGATCAAGGTCAGTTTCTGCACATAGGATGTGCACTACGTGGAAACCGAGAAAGCAGAAATCACATCAGGCAGAAATCACACCTGGGCGAACCACCAGCGGTGGCGGTTGAATGCTGTCCATCGGATGAGCCTTCCATGCACGTCCACCGTCGGATGCATGTGCTTCCACGGCCTACCCCATATACTGCAGATTCAGCCAGAAGGATTAACTTGGTGTTTAAGAAGATTGGCTGCCAACACAAACTGCATTCGTACCCAGTGCATGAAACACACTCCTGCTCAAGCTGTAGAAGAAGCGCCGTAGGACCGCAGAAAGACATAAAAGAAAAGCGCACGACGGTTGCATGCATGGGCAGTCAGAGGCAGGACGGGTGTATGGTGAGTCGCACTCGAGTCACCACATGACCAGCTTGACGGTGCTCAAGTGGGACAGTCAATGGTGAAAAGGTCGGTGCCATTGCGGTCCAGATACAGATTTTCAGACGCCACAAGAAGCACAGCAGCTGGAGGGCACTTACGTGGGATATTGAATGGTGAAGAAGTTGGTGATGTTGCGATCCAGATACTCCTCCCATACTGTCACCCTCCTCCTGCTCCGCTCCTCCCCGCTGCTCTCATCCCCCCTGTTGTCAGCCCCACCATCCCAACCGGCAGCAGCATCGCCAGTGTTATTGGTGGGAGAGGCATTGCTGGGGGAGGAGAGGGTGGGCCGGGATGCGTGCAGCAGCTGCAGGGCGTGGCGGCGGCACTCAGAGGAGGTCTCAGGGACAAAGTAGCATGACCAGCGGCCTCGATGCACACCTGTCGACACGCTATTGGGCGATGGGGATGGGGGAGAAGGCGGGGTGCACGGATGGGGGACGAAGCACAGTGAGAATGTGAGGGATGGAGCCACATGGGGTGTTGAAGAGAGGATGGAAACAAACAGAAACCCTCCCTCTGATATTGTCACATGAGAGCGTGTATCTCCATGAGAGCGTGTATGTGCATGGCATCTCTTGATAATGTCATCCTCCCTTCCCTACTATCATCCCCTCTACAGGCATGTCACCCTAGTATGGGCTAGTGAACTTCATTCCCTATCTGCACCCACCTTGACACATCTCTGCCTCCCCCGTGTAACCATGCTACACCACCAGCACCCTGACCTCTACCACACAACCCTCACCCCCACCTCTCTCACCTCTCACGTCACCACTCTCACCCTCTCTTCCACCACTGTTACCCGTCGTGTGCCGCCCTATGGTACTGTCGGACCACCAGCACGCGCCCCAACACCACCCACCTTCCCTTACAATCTCCTCCCTCCCTTGGTTACTGCAACGCAACCCACCATGGCACCCATCGTGCGCCGCCCTATGGTAGTGGCGCACCACCAGCACGCGCCCCTCCACCACAGCCGTCCCCAGCACGCCCGCCAACCAGTTCACCACTCTCACCCTCACTTCCATCTCAGTAAATCACCCACCATGACACCCATCGTGCGCAGCCCTGTGATAATGCCTTATCACCAGCACGCGCCCCTCCACCACAGCCGTCCCCAGCACGCCCGCCAGCCAGTTCACCTGCGCCCCCACGCCCAGGAAGCTTCCGCGGACCTTCCTGAGCACGTCCACGACCAGGAACTTGACAGACGGGTGCGAGCAGTCCCGCGGGTGCTGGTGCACCCAGAGGTCCCTCTGGGCCCGCCGCGTCATGGGCAGATTGTCCTCGTCCGCACCTGATACCTGAAGGATGGTGGGTAGGGGGGTGGAGGGAGTGCGGCATGCATAGCAGATGGAGAGGAATCGAGCTGCTGCAGTCACGGGGGTGCTGCCGCACCCAGATGTTCCTGTGAGCTCACCATGTCATGGGAAGATTGTCCTCGTCTGCTCCTGATACCTGGGTTGTAGAGGGGCGTGCCGTGCATAGCAGAGGGAGAGGAATCGAGGCGTTTCTTGGGGTGCTAGCGCAACCACATGTCCCTCTGCGCTCGCCGCGTAACATGGGCAGATTTTATTCGCCCCCACCTGATTCCTGGGGGGTGGAGGGAGGGAGGGAGGGGGCGAGCATGGAAAAGGATGAGGGCTAGATCTCGTGTCCTTGGGTTGCTGTGCAGGTGCAGCTAGCATTCTCTTGGAATGGCAGGGCGACCTTGCCTTGCACGAAGCATTCTCTCTTCCAAGCCTGTGCTGCACTCTGAGTCGACTTTGCTGTAGCTGGTGCTTGAGAATTCTATTCACCAATATCAGCTACACAAAAACCTCACCTACACATGGCACGTGCCACAGCACTCACCCAGGGGGGGTAGGGCCCGAGGACAGCCCCCCTGTGGTCCCCCATGAGCTGCTCGTCCCGTGCTGTCGCCATCCACGCCGCCACCTCCGCCTGCTCCTCGCGCGCCCCTTGCCTCTCCTGCATCCTCTCCTGTGCCTGTAACCGCATCGCCTCATGCTGCACTGCCCGCGCCTGCTCCTCCGCCTCCAACTGCCCCTCTGCCTCCGCCACAACCGCCGCACCTTCCGCCTTCCTTCCCTCTTCCTCTTCCTCTCCCTTTACTTCTCCCATCCTCTCTCCGCCTCCCGCTTCCTCTGTTTCCTTGCCTGCACGCCCCTCTCCTTCCCTTTCTCTCTCCCTCCTCACCTTCTCCCTCTCCCGCTCCTCCAACCGCCGTGCCACCAGTCCCAACCTGCCGCCCCAAAGCGACCAATCCGGAAGCTCCCCGTCAGCAGACCGCGAATCCAGAAGGCTGCAAAGGGGAGTTGGAGGAGAAGAGAGAATGGAGCGAGCTTCAGTTCTCAAGTTGTGAGGCGGCTGAAAAGAAGGGAGAGAGACGAATGGCGACCCGTCGGTGAAAGTGAAACAAGTGGTGGAGGCAGAGAGAGAAGGGAGGTGAAGCGGGCGAGGTGAGGTGCCATGGCTCAATCTGCTGAGCGTAGTGCCTTCCAAGCCCTTGCACAACAAGAAATGCAAAGAAAACGAAAAAGGCGGCAGGTGGGGAATGACGGCTCTCCCCAAGCATGTCATGAAGCCATGTGCACACCCACCCATCGATACATGCACTTTCACACATTCACACACCCACACGCATGTAATCACATGCGTCCATGCACACAAGAACGGACCTGATATCAGTGGCGAGAGAGGCACAGTCGTCCACATGGGGTGCGGCCGGCACCAGCCGCTGCTCCTCCTCCTCCCTCAACCACGCCTCCTCCCCTGCCCCTCCCACACTCTCTCCTGCCCCACCCAAAGCATCTGCTTGTCTCTTTGCTTGCTGCACTCCCACGTTCATCTCCTTACCCTCCCCCTCCTCCCCTTGTGCAGTCCCCACTTCCCCCACCGGTTCTCCCCCCTGTGCCACCACAGCGCATCTGAGCTGTGTGAGAGCATGCTGCACAGCAGCACTGCGCACATCCCGCAGCCCCAGGGAGGGAGCGGCCTCCCACAGCGCCATCAGCGCACGCGCACTCTCACCCATGCCACCACGCCTCTCCTCATCATCCTCAACGCCACTCCCCTCTTCACCTTCACCACCTCCCCACCCCGCGTCCTTACCGCCTCTCCTGCCCCCATACGCATCCTCACTCACGCCATCCGCCCTTTCCTCCCCCTCCAGCCCCTTACTCTGCCTGCCATCCTCTCCCCCTCTCTCGCCCGCAATCCTACTTTTGTCCCTTCTCTCATCCTGCCTTGTCCCCCTGCCTGTGTTACTGCTTCCTCCCTCCTCTTCCTCACTGCTTCCCATCACCCCTCTCCTGTCTAGCGCTTCAGAATTGTTTACAATAACGCCTGACTGCTGCTCCAGGTGCTTTCTCAGGTGTTTCTTCAGGTGCAAACACCCACTCTTGTCACACGCAGCCAGCTGTGCCTTCAGGTGCGTGACATCATGCCGGAGCATCTGATTGGTCCACCTCAGCGCGCTCTGATTGGCCTGACAATGCTCCTCCTTCCACTGTTCATTCACATGCATACATTCACATGAGCGCACACACATATAATCACCTGAGCTTACACGCACACAGATGCGCGAACGAAGGTGACAACATCACAGCACAGAGAGATGCAAAAAGAGGGTGAGCGGTTCTCCATGTGGACTCAACAATAGTTCTCCATGTGGACTCAACAATAGTTCTCCATGTGGACCCAACAATAGTTCTCCATGTGGACTCAACAAAAGTTCTCCATGTGGACTCAACAATAGTTCTCCATGTGGACTCAACAAAAGTTCTCCATGTGGACTCAACAATAGTTCTCCATGTGGACTCAACAATAGTTCTCCATGTGGACTCAACAATAGTTCTCCATGTGGACTCAACAATAGTTCTACATGTGGACTCAACAAAAGTTCTCCATGTGGACTCAACAATAGTTCTCCATGTGGACTCAACAAAAGTTCTCCATGTGGACTCAACAATAGTTCTCCATGTGGACTCAACAGTAGTTCTCCATGTGGACTCAACAAAAGTTCTCCATGTGGACTCAACAATAGTTCTCCATGTGGACTCAACAATAGTTCTCCATGTGGACTCAACAATAGTTCTCCATGTGGACTCAACAATAGTTCTCCATGTGGACTCAACAAAAGTTCTCCATGTGGACTCAACAATAGTTCTCCATGTGGACTCAACAAAAGTTCTCCATGTGGACTCAACAATAGTTCTCCATGTGGACTCAACAATAGTTCTCCATGTGGACTCAACAAAAGTTCTCCATGTGGACTCAACAATAGTTCTCCATGTGGACTCAACAATAGTTCTCCATGTGGACTCAACAATAGTTCTCCATGTGGACTCAACAATAGTTCTCCATGTGGACTCAACAATAGTTCTCCATGTGGACTCAACAATAGTTCTCCATGTGGACTCAACAATAGTTCTCCATGTGGACTCAACAATAGTTCTCCATGTGGACTCAACAATAGTTCTCCATGTGGACTCAACAAAAGTTCTCCATGTGGACTCAACAATAATTCTCCATGTGGACTCAACAATAGTTCTCCATGTGGACTCAACAAAAGTTCTCCATGTGGACTCAACAATAGTTCTCCATGTGGACTCAACAATAGTTCTCCATGTGGACTCAACAATAGTTCTCCATGTGGACTCAACAATAGTTCTCCATGTGGACTCAACAATAGTTCTCCATGTGGACTCAACAATAGTTGTCCATGTGGACTCAACAATAGTTCTCCATCTGGACTCAACAATAGTTCTCCATGTGGACTCAACAATAGTTCTCCATGTGGACTCAACAATAGTTCTCCATGTGGACTCAACAATAGTTCTCCATGTGGACTCAACAATAGTTCTACATGTGGACTCAACAAAAGTTCTCCATGTGGACTCAACAATAGTTCTCCATGTGGACTCAACAAAAGTTCTCCATGTGGACTCAACAATAGTTCTCCATGTGGACTCAACAGTAGTTCTCCATGTGGACTCAACAAAAGTTCTCCATGTGGACTCAACAATAGTTCTCCATGTGGACTCAACAATAGTTCTCCATGTGGACTCAACAAAAGTTCTCCATGTGGACTCGACAATAGTTCTCCATGTGGACTCAACAATAGTTCTCCATGTGGACTCAACAAAAGTTCTCCATGTGGACTCAACAATAGTTCTCCATGTGGACTCAACAATAGTTCTCCATGTGGACTCAACAAAAGTTCTCCATGTGGACTCAACAATAGTTCTCCATGTGGACTCAACAATAGTTCTCCATGTGGACTCAACAATAGTTCTCCATGTGGACTCAACAATAGTTCTCCATGTGGACTCAACAATAGTTCTCCATGTGGACTCAACAATAGTTCTCCATGTGGACTCAACAATAGTTCTCCATGTGGACTCAACAATAGTTCTCCATGTGGACTCAACAATAGTTCTCCATGTGGACTCAACAATAGTTCTCCATGTGGACTCAACAATAGTTCTCCATGTGGACTCAACAAAAGTTCTCCATGTGGACTCAACAATAGTTCTCCATGTGGACTCAACAATAGTTCTCCATGTGGACTCAACAAAAGTTCTCCATGTGGACTCAACAATAGTTCTCCATGTGGACTCAACAATAGTTCTCCATGTGGACTCAACAATAGTTCTCCATGTGGACTCAACAATAGTTCTCCATGTGGACTCAACAATAGTTGTCCATGTGGACTCAACAATAGTTCTCCATCTGGACTCAACAATAGTTCTCCATGTGGACTCAACAAAAGTTCTCCATGTGGACTAGACATGAGCACAAGGGCGAACACCTGTTCGGTTCGCCTCGAACGTGTTCGAGGCGAACCGAACATGTTTGTTTTTTTTGCTTAAATTGTTCGCCGAACAGTGTTCGATGTTCGCCCGAACACGTTCGTGTTCGGGCCGCTGCTGCAATTTGCCCCGCGACGAACACGAACGTGTTCGATGTTCGCCCAAACATGCCTTCACAGGCGAACGGCGAACACGTGTTTTTGCTTTAAGTGTTCGCCGAACCGAACACTGTTCGAACGAACGGAAAGGGACGAGCGAACGGAAAGGGACGAGCGAACGGAAAGGGACGAGCGAACGGAAAGGGACGAGCGAACGGAAAGGGACGAGCGAACGGAAAGGGACGAGCGAACGGAAAGGGACGAGCGAACGGAAAGGGACGAGCGAACGGAAAGGGACGAGCGAACGGAAAGGGACGAGCGAACGGAAAGGGACGAGCGAACGGAAAGGGACGAGCGAACGGAAAGGGACGAGCGAACGGAAAGGGACGAGCGAACGGAAAGGGACGAGCGAACGGAAAGGGACGAGCGAACGCTCCATGCTCTGTTGACCGACGACACGACACGAGACGAGCAATGCTACGAGCCGCGAAAAACGGAAAAGTTTTAATGCACAGAATGTTGCTAGGAGACCAAGCCCTTTGGCAGTAACGCTCGGACCTGAAGGTTGCTCATCGCCTGTTGCAATTCCTGGAACCTTCTCCGAAGCTTCGCACATCCCGGCTCTCCCAGCAGTTGCGCGTTCCCGTAAAGATCGCCGCGATCCCCGCCAGGGTCGGAGCTAACCGTGAGCCGGCCGTTTCCTGGTCCGGAATCGCTCACCAGATCGACGGCTTTGTGCGAAGGCGGCTCGGTTCTAACAGGCTCGGTTTGCCGAGCCTCAAACGGCTTCTCAAGTTCGACACGCTCAGGTGAACGAGAATCGAAAGGCTGCTGCTGCTGCTGCTGGTGGGAAATAAAAGGCGAGCGGAAGAAGCGGCGAAGGTCGCGGCGAGCGAGGGCGGGGAGATGGAGAGGCGGCAGGCGGAAGGTGAGGAAGGGGAGGGTGACAGAGACGGAGATGAGCAGCAGTGCGAGGGAGAAGAGGACGGGACGATATCGAGGCATGATGGGGATGAGGGAAGTAAAAGCGATACGCGACCCGCTGTGCGTACCTTCTACTACCAGGATTCCATCCCGAGCCAGGTCACTAAGGAAAACTGGTTGGTCTAAGTTGGTTCATCCTAAATAGACTTGCTTCATAGCCTCTGGTGTCGTTCGTGCCATTCGGCCCCCAGACACATCTTCCATGGCCGAAACTGGCGAATGCGGTGAACATTAGGTCGCGACTCGTAGCGGCCATGTGGCAAAATTGGAAGATCCAGCAATTTTCCGCGCCCTTGGAGTGTGCGTCCTTTGGTGAAAATAGTCCTTCAACCGCTTTGCACCGGGGCGACACGTCTCTCAACTGTATTTTACCGTGTACAACCTCTCAAAGGTCGAACTTTGTAGTCGACCCCGATGACACACGCCCATCTTGTCCAACTTATCAGCTAGCTCTGAACAATAAAGAGCCGCGCTAAGAGGACCGGACCCTCGCATGCGAAGCGATCGCTCTACCATGTGAGCTACACCCCCGTTGAAAGGTGACATAATAAATTATATTGATACCTTTAACATAATCTGTCCCAAGCCATCTTCGTCACAGTTTTGCACATTTGCAAGATGGCGAGTCGACCGGAACAGCTAGCTCCCCCCGAGGTGTTCTACAATGACGCCGAGGCGCGCAAGTACACCACGTCGTCGCGCATGATCGAGATTCAGGCATGTGCGGTCCCTATCTAGCGTCTTTTGCATCGGCGGGAATCCACGTCATGACTCGTTGGGGTCCGAGTTACGGCATGGGACAGGGCAGGCGAATAACGTTTAGCCACGTAGACAGACAGCCTGTCGCGTTTTTTGTTGCATAGATCTCTCGATTGGCCTGCTCCGTCGAAGTCGCGTCGTATACGCGTTATAACGTTAGTTTTTGGGAAGAGTCAGCAGCCGCCTTTGCTGCGCTTTAGATCGCATCATTTTCGTTACACTCACAACTTACACCCCTCACATAAAGCCTCGCGCTAGTCACGGACAGTCCCATGACGATGGTAACAAAACCCTCTCCAAAGCCCGTAACCCCCATTCACCCCATGCACCCTGTTTCGCCGTTCCCCACGAATTCCGCGCGCGAATGTGACAGGCGAAACTCACGGAGCGAGCAGTCGAGCTACTCGCGCTTCCCGATGACGGCACTCCGCGGCTCCTGCTGGACATTGGTGCGCCGAAGAGGGGGGGAAGGGGGTGGGGGGAAGAAGCGGGGAGGGGGGTGGGGGGGTTGGAGAGGGTGGGGAAAGCGTTTGAACGTTGGGGTTTTCCACCACTCCGCCGCTCCTGGTGGACAATTGGTGCGTCGAAAAGGGGGAGGGAAGGGGGAAGCGGGGAGGAGGAAGAGGAGGGCAGCGGGGGACAAGGGGGAAGAGGGGAAGGAGGGAAAAGGGAAAAGGGGCGTGGGAGGAGGAAGAAAAGGGGGAGAAGTGCCAGCGCGGGATTTGGGGGGGATAGGAAAGGGCAGGGTTTCGAGGGGCGGGTGGCGAGGGGTTTTGACAGTGGTTAGGCAGGGGAACGAAACGATGATTGGCAAGGGTATTTTGTCGCCATCGCGAGTCGCGGTTAGTTCCACTCGCTCTGTGGTCCCCTTGCTGTCCCAATTAATCTCCCCCGTCCTCCGCTCGCGTTCCCCCATACCTCCACTCCACCCACCAACCCCCAATCCCCCCATACTTTCTTCCCGTATCCCTCCCCCCCTCTAGGTTGTGGCTCGCGGGTGAGCGGGGAGGCGTTATCTGAGGAAGGGAACAACTGGGTGGGGCTTATTCCCCCATTCCCCATCCCCTGCTCACTTTCCCGCATCCCCTGCTCGCTTTCCCCCATCCCCTGCTCGCTTTCCCCCATCCCCTGCTCACTTTCCCCCATCCCCTGCTCGCTTCCCCGCCCCCCCAGGTTGCGGCTCGGGGCTGAGCGGGGAGGCGTTATCTGAGGCAGGGCACCACTGGGTGGGGCTGGACATCTCGCCCGCCATGCTGGGTGCGCGGGGGGATGAGGGAGATGGGGAGGGGGGAGGGGGGAGTGGGGGAGAGGGTTTATGAGGGGTGGGTCGCTAAGCCCTAAAGCTGGGTGTGGGCATATCGTCCTCCATGCTGGGAACTCGGGGGGAGTGGGGGGATGGGGGAAGGAATCGGGTTGAAGGAGAAGGGGGGGGGAGGAAAAAGGGGGGATAAAGCCCTAAAGCTGGGTGTGGGCATATCGTCCTCCATGCTGGGAACTCGGGGGGAGTGGGGGGATGGGGGAAGGAATCGGGTTGAAGGAGAAGGGGGGGGGAGGAAAAAGCCCTAAAGCTGGGTGTGGGCATATCGTCCTCCATGCTGGTTGCGCGGGGGGGGAAAGGGGGGGAAGGGGAGGAAGGAGGGGAGGCGCGGGGAGGTGTGGTGGGGGCCAAAACCCTAAAGCTGGGTGTGGACATCTGGCCCTCCATGCTGGGTACGCGGTGAGGGGGGAAAGGGCGGGGGAAGGGGTGGGGTGGGGGGGGGGGGGAGGAGGAGGGGAGGAAACGTTGAAGCTGCTAGGGGCTGGCCATCTCGCCCTCCATGCTGGGTACGCGGTGAGGGGGGAAAGGGCGGGGGAAGGGGTGGGGTGGGGGGGGGGAGGAGGAGGGGAGGAAACGTTGAAGCTGCTAGGGGCTGGCCATCTCGCCCTCCATGCTGGGTACGCGGGCGGCATGGGCATGGGGGCTTGGCGGGAGTGGAGAAGGGGGAGATTAGGCAGGAGGAGGTGGAGTGAGGATGGGCGGATAGACTGGCAGGAGATGGGAAAAACTGGGTGCTATCATTGAGGGAGGCCGTTGCTGCTGGGTTGGGTTGGGCTCAACTGGGCGTCCATTAACCCATGTTCCTAAACCCGTGCATCGAAACTTATGTCCCTAACTTAGTCCATGCATTCAAACTTATGTCCCTATATGCATTTATATCTATGCCCCTAAACCCGTGCATCCATAAACCCTTGGCCTCAAATTCATGCGTCCATGGACAATGCACGTGCAGACGTGGCAGCAGAGCGGGCAGTGGACGGTGATCTCATGCTCTCTGACATGGGGCAGGTGAGATGTGGGGCAGGTGAGATGTGGGGCAGGTGCTATTTGGGGCAGGCGGAGTGTGGGGCAGGTGGGGCACGGGGCAGGAATGAGTCAGGATCATCGTGCTAGCATCCCCACCAACACATGAGTCCTCTCTCAGGGCTGCCTACCTTGCCAGCCTCGCTCATTGGAGCTTTAACCTTCTCTGCCGAATAACAAGTTGCTGTTCTCACCAATGCCTTCCATCTCTCTTCTCCTCACCCCCTCTTTCTCTCCCACTATCTTCCTCTCCTCGCCTGTTTGTCTCCGCCCTTCTCCGCCCGCACCTCACCTCCCTTTCAACGTGAATATTTAACCTTCAATCCCCTCTGACTCTCCTCTCCACCCTTCCCCCTCTTCCCCTTTCCCTTGTCCCTACCCTTCCCCACTAAAACGATAATTTTGACTCCCCTCTGTCTCTCACTCCTCCCTACCGCTCTCCCCCTTACCCCTTCCCCATCTCCCCCTTTTCCCCTTTCCCATCTCCCCCTTTTCCCCTTCCCCATCTCCCCCTTTTCCCCTTCCCCATCTCCCCCTTTTCCCCTTCCCCATCTCCCCCTTTTCCCCTTCCCCATCTCCCCCTTTTCCCCTTCCCCATCTCCCCCTTTTCCCCTTCCCCATCGCCCCCCCATCAGGGCCTTCCGCTGCGCAACGCTGGTTTTGACGGGGCCATCAGCATCTCAGCAGTGCAGGTATGACGTCATCAGCATCTCAGCAGTGCAGGTATGACGTCATCAGCATCTCAGCAGTGCAGGTATGACGTCATCAGCATCTCAGCAGTGCAGGTATGACGTCATCAGCATCTCAGCAGTGCAGGTATGACGTCATCAGCATCTCAGCAGTGCAGGTATGACGTCATCAGCATCTCAGCAGTGCAGGTATGACGTCATCAGCATGTCAGCAGTGCATGTATGACGTCATCAGCATCTCAGCAGTGCATGTATGACGTCATTAGCATGTCAGCAGTGCAGGTATGACGATCATCATCACGTCAGCAATTCTGGTATCACATCATCAGCATTTCATCACGGCACGGATGTCATCAGCAGCAGCTCTCCCCTCTCCCCACCTCCCACCTCGTCCCTGCCCCCCTGTGTCCCAGTGGCTGTGCAATGCCGACAAGTCTTCACACAATCCGCGCCTGCGCCTCAAGTGAGTGCCCCTGCGCCCTGCGCCCTGCGCCCTGCGCCCTGCGCCCTGCGCCCTGCTCCCTGCGCCCTGCTCCCTGCGCCCTGCGCCCTGCGCCCTGCGCCCTGCGCCCTGCTCCCTGCGCCCTGCTCCCTGCGCCCTGCGCCCTGCGCCCTGCGCCCTGCGCCCTGCGCCCTGCGCCCTGCTCCCTGCGCCCTGCTCCCTGCGCCCTGCGCCCTGCGCCCTGCGCCCTGCGCCCTGCGCCCTGCGCCCTGCGCCCTGCGCCCTGCGCCCTGCGCCCTGCTCCCTGCGCCCTGCTCCCTGCGCCCTGCGCCCTGCGCCCTGCGCCCTGCGCCCTGCGCCCTGCGCCCTGCGCCCTGCGCCCTGCGCCCTGCGCCCTGCTCCCTGCGCCCTGCTCCCTGCTCCCTGCGCCCTGCGCCCTGCGCCCTGCGCCCTGCTCCCTGCGCCCTGCTCCCTGCGCCCTGCGCCCTGCGCCCTGCGCCCTGCGCCCTGCGCCCTGCGCCCTGCGCCCTGCTCCCTGCGCCCTGCTCCCTGCTCCCTGCTCCCTGCGCCCTGCTCCCTGCGCCCTGCTCCCTGCTCCCTGCTCCCTGCGCCCTGCTCCCTGCTCCCTGCGCCCTGCGCCCTGCGCCCTGCGCCCTGCGCCCTGCTCCCTGCGCCCTGCTCCCTGCTCCCTGCGCCCTGCGCCCTGCGCCCTGCGCCCTGCGCCCTGCGCCCTGCGCCCTGCGCCCTGCGCCCTGCTCCCTGCGCCCTGCTCCCTGCGCCCTGCGCCCTGCGCCCTGCGCCCTGCGCCCTGCGCCCTGCGCCCTGCGCCCTGCGCCCTGCGCCCTGCTCCCTGCGCCCTGCTCCCTGCTCCCTGCGCCCTGCGCCCTGCGCCCTGCGCCCTGCTCCCTGCGCCCTGCGCCCTGCGCCCTGCGCCCTGCGCCCTGCGCCCTGCGCCCTGCGCCCTGCGCCCTGCGCCCTGCTCCCTGCGCCCTGCTCCCTGCTCCCTGCTCCCTGCGCCCTGCTCCCTGCGCCCTGCTCCCTGCTCCCTGCTCCCTGCGCCCTGCTCCCTGCTCCCTGCGCCCTGCGCCCTGCGCCCTGCGCCCTGCGCCCTGCTCCCTGCGCCCTGCTCCCTGCTCCCTGCGCCCTGCTCCCTGCGCCCTGCTCCCTGCTCCCTGCTCCCTGCTCCCTGCTCCCTGCTCCCTGCGCCCTGCTCCCTGCTCCCTGCGCCCTGCGCCCTGCGCCCTGCGCCCTGCGCCCTGCTCCCTGCGCCCTGCTCCCTGCTCCCTGCGCCCTGCGCCCTGCTCCCTGCTCCCTGCGCCCTGCTCCCTGCGCCCTGCTCCCTGCTCCCTGCGCCCTGCTCCCTGCTCCCTGCGCCCTGCCTGCTCCCTGCCACTCCCTTACCCTACCCCCACTTCCACCACCACCCCTGCCCCCCCTCTTTGCGTTCTTCCAGTTGCTGTACCGCTCGCTGGCTAGGGGCAGGAGGGCGGCGCTGCAGATCTATCCCAATGGAGTGCCGCAGCTGGAGATGATCTCTAAAGCCTCCATGCAGGCTAAATTCTCCCACCCACCTCCCTTGAAATCACCTCACACAAGGTTCGACCGCTGCTCACCAACCTCTTACTTTGTTTCCGCCTTCCTCTCACCCCCACTACTCCCTCCCTTCCCTCCCCTGATTCTCCCCACACTCCTTCATCCCCAGGGCCTTCTTGTCGCTTTACCGCTCACTGGCTAGGGGAGGCAGGGCAGCGTTGCAGATCTACATGTATGCTCACCACCTCACTCTCTCCCTCCCCCCCTCTCCCAGGGCCTTCTTCCAGTCGCTGTACCGCTCACTGGCTAGGGGAGGCAGGGCGGCGCTGCAGATCTATCCCAATGGGGCGCCGCAGCTGGAGATGATTTCCAAAGCCGCCATGCAGGCCGGGTTCTCAGGGGGGCTCGTTGTGGACTACCCCCACAGGTGATTTCAACAGAGCCAGGTGATTTTAACAGGGCCAGGTGATTTCACATGGTGGGCTGAGTGATACAAACAGGAAGAAAGACTGAGTGATTACTTGCGGCAGAGCTTGAGACTGAGTGACTACCCCAAAGGTGGCATCAACAGGCGAGCGTGTGGTGGTTGGGGTACCCATATAGTTTGACTGTAACAGGGCTGTGAGACTATTTGGTCGAGAGATGCTGATTTTTGGGCTTGTTCTCGCGCACCATATTATATCCTTATGGTGATTTGTTCTATTTCTCCACTCCCCCAAACCTTTTCCCCCCTCCCCCTCTCATCCCCACCCCTCCTGCCCCTTTCCCCAAAAACCCCATCCTTAACCCTCTGTCATCCCCGGTTTTCCCAATCCCCCTCTCCCCCCACCCTCACCCGTGTGATGTTCTCTTGCTCGGGATGAATGTGGGCAGCACCCGAGCCAAGAAATACTTTCTGTGTCTCGTAGCTGGCCCTGCTGGTAGCCGGCCAATGCCCAAGGCTAAAGGGGGGGATGGGGAGAGTGAGGAGAGCGAGGAAGAGGACGGCAGCGATGAGAGTGATGGGGAAGGAAGAACTGTGGGTTATGAGCAGCGGCAGAGACAACGACCTGGGAAGAAGCAGAAGCTGAATGGAAAAGGGGCTAAGGGAAGGAATTGGGTGTTGAAGAAAAAGGAGCACCGGCGGCAGCGAGGAGACATGGATGTTCCCAGAGACACTAAGTACACTGCACGGAAAAGAAAGTCACGGTTCTGATTAGTCTGTTCGGAAAGTGGAATTATAATAGAATAGAGGTGTTACTTGAAGAAATGCACCGTAATCCCCCGGATAAAAGACCCCCCCATAATAATGTTCCCGGGTCTTTAATACGGGGGGGGGTATATTATTCAAGACTGTTTTCCTTACACCCCCCATTTGGGGTGAAATCATTATAAGACCCCCCCCCAACCTCAAAAGTGTTATTTAGATGTTAATTCATGTCAATTAAGCAAGCAGCGGCACATGGTAGGCCACAGGAGTCACAAAATACAATCAAGGCAGCCTCTCAACACCCAGCTAGCTCCACTCTTCACCCACCACCTTGGAATCCGCCCCCGCCTTGCTACTCATCTTCGTCACCCGCCACCCACTCATCTACCTCAGCCCCCTCATAGCGACCAGGGGCCCACCATTCATCCCCTTCGTCGCTCCACTCGTCAGCTTCGTTTGCGTTTCCATCGTCGGACTCGCTCGAGTCTGACTTAGCAGGTACTGCCTCCTCATCGGCCTCCTCTGCTTCAGCGGCCAGCACGGCCTCCTCCTCCATCTCGACGGTCACATCGGGAGGGGTGACCACGGGGGCCGGGTAGAACGGGTTGGGGACCAGTTCATCCTGCTCCCCCTCCATCACGTCTTCCAGCACCTCCACCTCGCCGGAATCCCGCATGTGCGCCAAGATCAGATGATACCGTATCACCCCGGATATAAGCGCAGGCCTATGTTAAGCGCATGCGCTTATATCTGGAGCAATGCGCTTATGGCCGATCCTCAATTATAAGCGCACCCCCTGTAAAACCTTGACTTATTATAAGCGCATCAATAATTCTACTATTAAATCCTAATTAATACAGTAACGATTTCCCTTTTTGCAGCGAGTCCAGATCCGTCCCTACTTGTTTGACTCGCTCGAGGGCGAGCGATTCGCAGGAGAAGCGAAACGGCGCGAAGCTGACTGACAGCACATCGTTGGGAGGGGGGGGAGGGAAGATGGGCGCTGGAAACGACTGTCCTGTGCGTTGTGCGAGCGAAAAAGGGGCAGGCGGGGGGGCTCGGGAACGACTGTGCCTCTGCGCTGCGATCAAGCGACTCCGTGCGACTGGCTCGTACATTGGTTCGGGGCGAGCTTGACACATCCCTCTTGAGAAGAAACAAGGAATGAATGAACTATGAATGAATTGGGTACAAGTACTAACCCTAATTGGGTTGTACCCCTTATGGACTACCCCACTATAGCCTACACAATATGCATGAGCTATAATGTTCTGACACACCCCCATAGGCAAAGTGGGGGAGAACAAGGGGTCACAAGACCAGTCAAGCAAAGCAAAGCAAAGCAAGCTCAGGGTGGATCACAAAGTCACCACACATTCCGAGCACAAGTTCAAGGCCACAAGGCCAGTTCACATGCAGGAGTACATATATATAAAAAAGGCTAGACAAGCAAGAGCAGGTATATATATATGTAACAGTACAAGCAAGGTCAAGAGGTGAGCAAGTGAGGCAAGGTAGGCACAAGGCCCAGCTGAGTACAGAAGCGCTGATGGTCACAAGGCGCAAGCGCCTTGGTGAAGATATCAGCAGTGTTGGCCTCAGAGGCCACGTACGCAAGACGCAGCTGACCACGCTGCTGCAGCTCACGAGCAAGAAAGTAGCGGAGAGCAATGTGCTTCGTTCTGTGCTCCAGTCGCTGCTCCCGACACAAGGCCAGCATGGCCTTGTTGTCTACGTACACCACTGGAGGAGAACGAGGCAACTCTCCGAGGTCAGTCAGCAGGTAGGTGAGCCAGCGAAGCTCCTGTGCAGCCATGGCTCCTGCGTAGATCTCAGCCTCACAACTGGAGCCGAGAACAGAAGACGAGCGAGTAGCCCGCCACGAAACAGAGCCGGAACCAAGGCTGAAGGTGTAACCCTGTGACGACCGCTGCGTAGCCTGGTCGTCAGCCCAAGAAGCGTCTGCGTGCCCAGTAAGGACCACTGGACTCTGCCCTCCAAGCACCAGCCCCATGCCCGACGTACTGCACAAGTAGCGCAACACCCTCTTCGCTGCAGCCATGTGCTCCGGTCTGTGTCTCCCAGGAGCAACATAGCGTGCAAGAATGCTAAGAGGGTATGCAAGGTCAGGTCGTGTGCAGGTCATCAGGTACATGAGGCAGCCAACAAGCTCTGGGTACGGGCCAATCGACTCTACGGACTCATCCGAAGGCAGAGCTGAGAGCGAGTGGCGAGTAGGCAGAGGAGTGGCCTGAGGCGAGGAGTACGTGAAGCCGAAGCGCTGAAGGACCTGCTGCACCATGTGTGACTGAGTCAGGGTAATGGTGCGGCGTGCTCTGTCCCGAGTGATCTGCAAGCCAAGGTAGCTGCGCAGTTCACCCAGGTCAGTGCACGTGTGTCTCTTCTGCAGCTCGGACTTCACGTGGGCTAGTCCTGCAGTGTCAGCTGTGGCAAAGACCAAGTCGTCGACGTACACGAGGATGTAGAACAGCGGCAAAGAAGTGTCGGTGCGCAGAAACAGCGACGGGTCGGCAGTAGAGGGAGCAAACCCAAGAGCCGCAAGTGTAGTCCTCAGTGTGTCGTGCCACTCACGCGGTGCCTGGCGGAGACCGTAGACTGGCCGCCGTAGGCTCCACTGGGTGCCAGGAGGAAAAGACCCAGTGAAGCCAGGTGGGCGACGCAGCCAGATCTCCTCGTGCAGGCTGCCCTGCAAGAAAGCAGTGCTGAAGTCAAGAGAGTGTAGCTCGTAGTCACGGTGAGCAGCTACGTGCAGCAGTACCCGAAGAGTGGTCATCTTCGGGGTGGGAGAGAAGGTCTGAAAGTAGTCAACTCCCTGCCGCTGACTGAAGCCACGAGCCACGTAACGCGCCTTGAAGACAGGCGGAGAACCCGGCGGTCGCTTCACCCTGAAAATCCACATGCCACTGACGATTTTCGCCCCAGGAGGGGGAACAGCGTCAACGTAGGTGCCTGTGGACTTCCAGGAAGCCATCTCTGCGTCCATAGCTGCCTGCCACTGAGAGGAGTAGGGACCCTCTATCGCCTCCGCGTAAGAGCGCGGAGTCGGGATGTCAAGTGCATCCGGGTCTCCCTCAAGGGTAAGCAGTACGGACACGAGATGAGGTGAAGCAGCGGCCAAGCACTGGAACTCCTCCTGCCTGTCCTCAAGGACGTCCGTGCCAAGGGCACACTCACCCCCGACGGACGGAGGACAGACAGACTCAGACTCAGCAACAAGACTGGCGACGTAGTCTAGGCGACAGCGAGCAGCAAAGTCGACGAGCTCAGCAACTAGGGCAGACGCAGCAGTGGACTCAAAGGAAGGGTCAGTGACAACAGTAGCAAGGAGACGCGTGACAGTAGGACTGGCAGCACGAAGAGAGTCCGACTCCGGGTCGGCAAGAGCAGGAAGAGAAGACTCAGGAGGAGAAGGCAAAGGGGCACGCAGAGGTGCAGTGGACGGACGCAGAGACATCCGGTGCGTGCCAGGGACAGGAGGAGGACGCTGACGCGAACCGCGACCACTAGTGCGAGCAGCACGGACAGGCGACGCAGGGCGAGACGCAGGCTCACGACGCTCAGCAAGACCTCCAGTAGGACCAGTGTAGGGAGACGGAGCAGGCAGTGGGGAGGCCGGCTGTAACTGTAACTGCGACGGGACAGGCTGTGGACACTCTAAGGGAGGAGGAGGACCAGTGGAAGGCGGGAGACCAAGAACCTGCTGAAGGAGCGGAACGAAGTACGGCCGAGGCCGCGCGGCGACTCCAGACACAGGAGGGACAGCACCAGCAGCCGTAGCAGCTCCAGCTCCAGAACCCCCAGCAGCACCAGTAGTACCCCCAGCAGGACCGTCTCCAGGACCGACAGCAGTAGCCTCCGCGCCAACACCCGCAGCAACTCCAGCTCCAGAAGTACCCGCAGGTCCAGCAGCTCCAGTACTCCCAGTACGAGCACCTCCAGGACCCGTGGCACCAGCTCCTTCAGTAGCAACAGAACCTCCATTACCCGCAGCACCTCCAGCTCCAGCAGCTCGCCTCCAGCGCCGGGCAAACCACTCACGCAGCTCCTGGGGAGAGAGTGGCTCCCGGCGAGAAGGAGCACCCGGAGAACCGCCAGGCACAGCACCACCAGGCGTAGCACCAACAGGCTCAGCACCTCCAGGCGTAGTACCCCCAGGCTCAGCACCCCCAGACGCAGCACCCCCAGGCTCAGCACCTCCAGGCGTAGTACCCCCAGGCTCAGCACCCCCAGTCGTAGTACCCCCAGACTCAGCACCCCCAGACTCAGCACCCCCAGGCTCAGCACCCCCAGGCGTAGCACCCACACGCTCCGCACCCCCAGAGTCAGCACCCCCAGGCTCAGCACCCGCAGCAGCACCAGAGTCACCAGCGACCTCGACAGGCTCAACGGCGTCTACCTGGGACACACCTGAAGGGGCAGGACCCTGAGGGGGGAGGGGGTCTACCGGGGGGGGACCTGGTACAAGGAAGAGCGGTGGCGGGGGGAGGGACGGAGTGCGGTAGGGGAAGAGGCGGTAGTAGGGGACCGACTCGTCGAACGTGACGTCCTGGGAGGACAGAACACGGCGAGAGGTGGGGTGGTAGAACTGCCACCCTGGGGCGTCAGGGGGGAAACCCAGGAAGACGCAAGGAGCAGCACGAGGGGACAGCTTGTCCGCAGACAAGTCGCGGACAAACGCCCGAGATCCCCAGACACGGAACGCAGACGCATCGCCAACCTTCCCCGTCCACAGCAAAGCTGGGGAGGTCTCCGGCATGGAGACCCTGGGCTGAAGGTTGATCTGATGCGCCGCGTACCGAACCGCAAACGGCCACAGAAAATGGGGGGCAGCCGCATGCATCATGGACGTACGGGCGACGTCCATGACCATGCCAATGCGGCGCTCAGCAATCCCATTTTGCTGTGGAGAGTCCGGAAGCGTGAAGGTCTGGCGGATGCCTCGTGCACGACAGTAGGCTCGCAGAAGGCCAGAGGAGAAGTCTCCG